TTCGGCTGGGTCCACGCATAGATACCTATGATCTCTAAAGTTAGGGGGAGTTCTCTGGGGTCGGGCCGAATTCTGAGCTCAGAGCCCTCCCCCGGACAGCAAGCCAAATACGCCTCATAATATTTCATCTGATTTCATTAACATGTAAACTCGTGAATTTGTATTTAAAATTACTTCTGCTAGTTACTAATGTCCATTTGACAAATATTGTAAAATGTTTCATGTTTAAACTAATTTTGTTTTGCTCGACTTTACCAATGGTCATCGCATCAAGTTCTTTCTGATCTATCAGATCTGAAACATTTAAGAAACATTTAAGCTGCCATGGGAAGTCATGCCTTCTGGAATTAAACTTGCCATTGCAAATAGAAAAAGACCATCACCAGCTGATTGAAGGAAGCTAGTAAGAATGTTAGTGGATAACATGCAAAAACATGAAGTAAACCCATCAAAGGCACAGTTACCCCTTTTTACATTAAAGCATTTTGAGAGCAGGTTCGGAGCCGGTGCCTGCGCTCGAACCAGTTATTTGTGTTTCGACAGCCAAAGAGCTAGAACCGTTCTTTTACCACGTCATGCTTACGTCAGGGGGCTGGGGCGGGTTTAGATGTGTTCTAAACAATGTTTCTGACCATCGCGAAGCCAGGAGAATCATTTGCAGAAACACGATGGAGTCCGCCTTTGTAATTGTTTTGCTTGAAGTTAGCCCAAGCGTTTGTATTTTTTTATTATTTTTTAAATTGTAAACATTATTAGCAAAGAAGAAAACAGTCACAATATAGAACAAATAAATGGAAAGAAAAAAAGACACAAGACAGGGGTAAATAACTAATCAGAAAATATCACATATCAAAGTAAAATATTAAAAGACTCGCATATTTCAATTGTTTTTAAAGCCTTCTTGGTACACGAGTTAGAGATAATCCCAAAGTAATGTTGTACTTGCAAGCGTTTCTAGCTAAGACGTATGGCTGGCGACATACACAGTGACGTAACAACGTTGTTCCCTGGCCGCTCTAGTCAGTGGAAAAACAAACTGAAAGGGTTCGCAAGTTGAACCAACTCCGAACCAACTTTGAACCAGGACCAGTTCCGAACAAGTTCTTTTTTTGGTGGAAAAGGGGTAAGTGTCCGATTGTAGTGCAGAATATTGTTAAAGAGCCCCTATCATGGATTTTTGAAAATGATTGTTCATGTAGTGTGGAATATAGCTCTAAGGGAATGAAAACATCCTGCAAAGATTTATATCTGAAAGTGCACCGTATATAAAGTTATTGTCTTTCAAAAGTGAGAGTCGACTCTGAGTCTATGAAATGAATTGTTTTTGAAACGAGTCATTAGCTGTTTCGTACAGTGATGGCCGGTTCGTGAACGAATCGTTCTTTTGAACCGGTTCTTTTTAGTGAACCGGTCGAACCAGTACACTAAATCGGACTGAATCGTCCGAAACAGTTCGCGTCTTGCGTCAGCGCTAAACCACAAGTTACTAAAGTTACTCACTTTCAGACATGCCTGACAGTCCCTCCGAATCGAAATAAACCAATATCCAGAAGTACATTTTATTCCAGTAACTCAAAAAGTTCGCTGAACGGAGACATATGTTGTGCTGAGAGAAGTGATGAGCACGAGCAGCTGATACTGCGCATGCGTGTGCTACCGAACATACAGATACAGCAGTTCTCGGATAACTAGTACAGAACCGAGAACTGTTTCTTTCGGACACGTTCGACATATTGAGAACTGATGAGTTGATGAGCTGTGCATGCGTGCATTTTTTTCTGAGGGACGAAATGTACGTTTCCATGTCTTTAGTTGAACATCAGTAAGTGTAACAAAATAAAACATTTTGGAAACATGTTTATCACATAATTACTGTATTATCAATGTATTATTTTAACGATTGGAAACAATGATTGGATTCTAAAACTGTCAAACTAAACATTTATTATTATACTAATATAATATTTTCAGGAACAGCTCATTTAATTTCTAGTAACAATATAAATCTTTGATGTAAACTCTTGCCAAGGTTTTAATGGTGCACTGCTTAGTAAATGTTTATAATGTGTTAACATAACGAAGTTATGTAAACACATTATAAACATGATGTATATATACTGTTACGTATAGGCTATAGGCTACAGAAGGCTATTGGAGACAGACATGCATCGATTTTTTAGTTTTGACTGTATATTCAGGTTTCAGCTCAGCACACACGCCTATGCTATGGTTCTCGAGTCGAGAACTGGTTGTTGCAGTTCTTGAATCACTAGTACAGAACTGAGAACTGTTTCTTTCGGACACGTTCGATACGGAGAACCGATGAGCTGGAGATACTGCGCATGCGTGATAGCGCCGTCTATGAACAGAACTTTCTTTCGGCTGATCCTGTGCTGATATACGAGCACGCAGTAGTACGGGTGAACCCAGGACTTAAATGAGAGGGCGAATCGGCGAAATGTAAGTTTATTTAATAACAAATAAAATGATGAAGACCATTTATGCATTTTATATATTTAAAACATGTAAAACATCCGCGTTAGCACATCGCCTTGGCTGCAGCAGGTTCGTTTTCAAAATGTAAATGTAAGAAACTTATCCAAGATGATCATGACGATGTGTACTAGGCTATTATTTAACTGAAGTTATGATTAAAAATGCCTGTAATTTGAAGTAGTTTTATCCGCCAGGATTATAGAATTGACGTCATTACGTGATGACGTAAAAGAACTGGTGAACCGGTTTTTTGAACCGGTTCATTAAAACGAACTGTCCGAAAGAACCGGTTCGCGGAAAAGAACCGGACTTCCCATCACTAGTTTCGTAGTGACGTAGATACGAAACATAAGCATATTGGCCACGCCCAGTTACTGTGCGCGCAGACGGAAGTGTAAACTTGAAGTCTAGAACACAAATACATCAGCTGAATAGCATCATGTCGAGAAGACGCTGTGTTCTACAATGCAAAGATAGTTCAGCCACTTTGTTTTCATTCACCAGGGACGAGCATGTGAAGAATCGGTGGTTAGAGTTCATATTTGCAACGATACCACAACAGTATAGCCCGATTGTGTTCTCATCATTTTAATTACGAATCGTTCAAAAACATAAATGAATTCAAATGTGGATTCGCAAGCGGTTGTTCCTGAAGGAGGGCTCAGTAACTTACTTACCCAGTGTATAGGGATCAGCTTCCTCCTCCGAATCACAACCTGTAAGTATTATTAATAGTTGTTGCTTTTATGGTTTTTATATCGTCAGGGCGCAAGGACTTTTAAAAAAAGAAAAACCACAAATACTTGTTATATTGCACCCCATAAACACAATCATGCAAAGAAAAAAAGCCAAGTAAACCAACCCTTTAATAAATGAATGTCACTGCAGCTTAGTTTCATCACAAACAATGGTCAAACATCGAATCTGTAGTCTTTAATCTTTACTCAGTTTGTCCAGATCAAGAATGTGATGTTTTAATGTGCAGAGAATGTTATCTGGAGCCGCCGGCGCCCTTTGTATGGAAACGGGTTAATCTGAGCTCTCAGTAAAACTGGGCCTATGAGACCTTTTTTTCCCTTCAGGATAAAATACACCAATGAATCGTTAACCATGACCATGACCATTTAAAGGGGTCATGAACTGGCTTTTTAAATTTTATTATATTGTTGTCTGAGGTCAATTTATGACGTTCGCTTGGTTTTTGCATTTTGTGAGCCTTCCTGAAAAACGGTCGGTTTTTATGGGCGTGTCGCACTGAAGACTTGGAAATAAACGCCACTGCTGTGAGTGGAGAACAGTTTTGCATATTATAATGAGTTTAACTCACCCGTCGGTGCACGTGGGGAAAACGTCCAATGTTGTAAAATGGCAACCGGATTCGCCCATGCATGTTCGACCAAGAGTGTGTTGCACAATTCCTGTCAGATCCCAACATGACATCATGACTTTTGCGTAAACATATACGCCACTTTCGAGTCAGGTGGCGTGTTATCTCTACGCATTTTGAGCTATCCGCGTGTATGTGTATATGTCTACGCCATTAACGTCCGCGTCATTCCGCGTGTCTGTACACGCAGTCAAATCTCCAGTCATAAATGCCATTAACCCCAGTGATGGTTAGGTTTAGGGACGGGGTTGAGGTAAGTCATATATTTATATAACGTTAAGTCAACGGCGTTCATAAACACGCTGAAAGGCTATTATGCATCTTGATAGCACGCCAAAAATTGAAATACGAATTGGCGTGTCATACACACGCTACTTCATGAGATCAGTCTGAACGTTAAATGAAATATTTCGTTAACACAGACCAGGGGTGCAAACCAAACGAGGCTTAAGACTACGGGTGAAGAGTAAAAAAAAAAGTTTTACAAAAGTCACACTAACTATTTTCACCAAAAGAGGACAGGTTTGCACCACGTGATTTGAAGTTGGTCAAGATTACTCTATCTAGCTAATCTATCTAACTGTATCTAACAGTCGAAATCTTAATTAAACAGGAAAACAAACTAACATGATTAAAAACTTACCCTCCATTGTGCAAAAAGATGTACACAGGCCGGTAACACCATTCTGCAGATCCAATATAGACGGCACAGCACGTTCTTTACTCTTAATCGTCGGCAAATCCAGTCTTGTTTACAAAACATTCCTCAGTGAAATGAAGCGAACAGACGACGATGTTTTACCCTCATCAGCTGGAACGTCATTAAAAATAAAGTTTATCCATGCAGTCCTACTGGAATCCAGAGGAAGCTTATGCAGCGACTGTCTTCTTCCACAACCAGGCGCTGCACAATATTCTGTATTGCTCGTTAGATCGATCCGGTTTCATCACGAGGTAGGCATCTATGTTATTTAGCTATGCGTGTAATGCGCGAATCGGTGGGCGGGGCTAAACCGGCCATGTTGAAGTAGGTGTTGATCTTCTTCTGCGGGGTGGTGTTTTAACCCCTTCGACGTCATAGTTTCCCACTTTAAAAAACGAGTCGTTTTCAGAGGCTGTGTCAATAAAAGCTTTTATTGGAATAACAAGGACATTTTCAGTTCTGAAACTTACAGGATATTCTTATAATATGATGACCTCTTAGATGTCAAAAGCTCAAGGAAAATTTGATTTCTCAGTTCATCACCCCTTTAAAGAAAGTAAATGGGGTTTGATTTGATTGTATGTCAACTTGCATATTTGAAATGTTAGATGGCACAATCGGTCAATCGGTGATAGTGAACACTGTTCAATAAAGATTGTTGCAATTCGACCGAACAAAAATAGGGATTGACTACAAACATGGAAACTTGTTATTTTGTATTATATTTATTACTCTGTCATTCTGGTCAAACTCTGAATGAAACATTTGGAGTCAAATGATTAGGATGGGGTGATGGTCAGGGAACCGAGGGAGGAACGTTTGGCTCATGGGTTCATGATCTGTCGAGGTCGACCGTAGCCTGTCATGCCAGCCTGGGACGCGCCTTTATTGGACCCCATCTGCAGACCGATGACATTTTTCCCCTCTTTAATCTGGTTGTCAGAGAAATCTCTCCGGTTCTCCTGCGCTTTCCTGGAAACAGGCAAAAAGCCGATATTTAAATAATCAACATCGATCAATTAAACGAAACCAGAGGTATAACCCTAGGCGAAACAATCCGCGTAATCATCTAACTCACTTGAAGAACCAGTTGGGATCTCCATTGAAGGCGCCGTCATCTTTTGTCACCGCGATGCTGCCCAGAGCCATTAGTGTCCTCTGCACTGCGGCCAAGTCCTTTCCTGGAGGATTCATACATGCAAGCTGAAACAACATGATGCAAATACACTGTTCCGGACTGGAGAAGTCCACAGTGATTGTTCTAATCGAACTGATTACATGTTGAACGCTTTCGACAGTAGTAGTGATCGACCGATGTATCGGTTTACCGATATTAAGCATTTTCCCATAATCAAGTATCGGTTTTGTAATATCGGATTCGCCGATAGACGGCGCCATCTTGTGGCCGTTTTGAGAATTCCACGTTTCCGCCATTGCAGCACGCGTCTGAAAAGATTAGTCAACAACAACTCTGTGCACGGGTAAAGTAAATGTTCTACTTGCTTTGCTTTAATTATTCAACTTTATTTAACATAATAGACATGCAGAAATGAGATTTGAGACATAAATGCTAAATTTATTAGGGAGTGATTGTTATAAATAAAATGGTTTGTTAAGTTCATTTGTGTTGTGTCAGAAGTATAAGAAGTATAACAGTAAATACAAATCGGTTCTGCATATCGGTTATTGGGCACACAAACATGCAAATAATCGGTATCGGTAATAAAAAACCAATATCGGTCGATCACTAATTTTTACATTCAATTTCATATTTTATTTTGAAATTGATTGTGTATTATTGCACACACTAATCTCAGTCAAATAATATGACTGCATTGAAAGGTACAATATGCAGGATATTTAGCAACCAGGGGTCGCTAACCTCTTACAATAACACAGGTGTATATTACAGTAATGACGTATATTTCACATTAAGCTGAATTATGGATCTTGTCGTCAAGCTGATGGATCTTTAATGGATGAGTGAATACAGTGATGTTTTAACATGACTGTGGTGTGAAGCATTGCACGATTGCTAGATGTATACCAGCGCCACACACAATGCGAGTCCCGCGGATATAAAAGAATAAGGACATTTCATTCTACCGAACTACACACAAGTGCTGGATTAATACTCACACAGGTCAGATTATCAGATGAATGAAGCTTGAGGTAACACAGTGCTGTTCACTTGATCTAACAGTTACACTATCACACTAAATGCCATTTGTGTGTGTTGGATGTTGTTTGGTAGGGTGTGTGTTGGCTGTGTGAGACTAGCAGTGATCTAGATCAACATTAGAATAACATACAGAACATATTCTAACATTTCATCATGTCAAACTAAATAACGTTAGTTTTATGTACATTTGCTCACCAGTCTAATAAAGTACATGCAACACTCGCGTCTCTGAGTCGAGGTTAGTTGCGGAAGTGGAGCTCTCGGCATCTCCAAAGATGTTCGTTTTAGTCCTCTTTTTGTCTCAAAGTCTGCTTGCCGTGGTCCATAATGTTTGAACAAAACAACAACACCACAAAGCATAACGGCAATAACCCGGTTGTCCACGTCTGTCGCCATGGTGACTATGGCAGTACGAGGTCAAACCTGACGGAAACCTAGGCTAACGTGGATATAGGGCTGGCGACTCCTCACCCCTGCTCACACGCCCCGTTTCCTTGGTTAAAATCACAGTTTTCTCACGATTTACAAATAGTTGGAAACATATTGTAAGTAATCAACTAAACAAAATATATAACATTGGCCTAGTGGTTTTTGGGTATTTTACTGCAAAAATCCTGCATATTGTACCTTTAATATCCTATTAATTAATCAGACATGCTTACTGCATGGTATGTGATACATTAATAATCATTCAACCATATTATTTAATCTTGATATGGGAACTGAATGTCTATGAAGAATATTTATTTGCTGGAGACTGTTGGCATACTCACCCTCCCACAGATCTACCGTCTGAAACATGTCGGTTTTGACGACGCCGTATCGCTCCGCAGCGTTAAGGAACTGTGACACCTGCTCCATCTGTTTGAAAGCCATACTGGAGCTCTGGATCTTCTTTACGGGCTTTTCCTTACACAGACTATTGATGAGCTCACACAAAACCTGAGAACGGGCAAAAGAAGCAAGATTACACTCTACATAAAACTCTAAGTTTTCCATAAATGTGATCATAATTATAAATGACATTACACTACGACCTCTCCGAGTCGAATCGTCGAATCCTCGACTCGACTATTAGAAGTCAGCCCTATGATATTGATAGCATCTCCCTTATGCCTGCAAATAGGCTTTATGTCGAGCGTCACGTGACCAAACCGGAAAAGGGGTCACATCGCATCCGCTTGTCAGAGAAAGTGTTAACGGCCGTTATCTATGTGTTATCTATGGATTTTTCAGGTAATCAGCTAACCTAACTAGTTCAATTTGTTATTGGCGTTTTATTCCATTTAAATATCTAAACGTTACTGTGAAGAAGAAAAATATAAAACGTTTAAATATCAATCTGCACATGTGAGGGACATTGGTTTTCGTTATTAGAAATTAGATTTTATTTTCAATTTTGGCTAAGAAATCAAGTACACTGCTGAACAAAACCAATAATTTGTATTCACCAATATTTTCCCATATTTTCCTGATGACAAGTTTATGATTGTTTTATGTACTACAAACACTTTGCATTCAGTCATCATATAGTTATGGTTTAATGTCAAACTATTTTTTATCGCAGAAAATAGGCTATTTAGCACTGCATTATTCATATCTTTTATTAATTTGAAAATCCTTGAGATGGCTTGAAAACACACCTAAACCATATACTGTATTGTTGCAATCGTGTGTTTATAGTCTTCACGCTTTATCAGTGAAAATGTGTTTCCAGTTTATTCCACTACAGCTGAATCCATTTGTCCATATAAGGGGTTTCCTGACATGAACGATTTTAATATAGATTTATTCACATTGGTCCAGGCCTTGACCGAAAAATATGATGGAGACGAATAGACTTTTTTTTTAAAAGCCCTTTCTTAAAAATGTGTACAAACTTTTGCTTTCACGATTGCCACAATGACCTGAGAATGGCAGGCACGGCTTACTTACACATCCATCTTTGAGCCAGGTCTGGAAGCCCAGTTTCCCGGCCTCTGGCTTTCCCACCGCAGGCCCACACTGGGCCATGATCCACTCCACCAAACGCGCCTCCAGTTCAGTGTCATACTTCTGCTCAATCTTATCCTGCACTTGGCGGCTCATCCCATAAGATGGACCCTTGTTTGCCATAGTTGAAGCTCCCTGCTTAGATGAGAAGAGGAGACTGTCAATAGTGTGGGACCTGACGTATGTTCTAGAGTAACTACCAAATCAAGCAGCATTGTGCTATTCCATGTCACTTTTATTATAATTTTGTATTGATTTTTGCATCATGTTCGATAGTTTGTTTATTCAATAGCTTCGTAGTTTGTTTTATGGACAAAAAAATATAAAACAGGAACAAGTTTGTAAAGTTTGTGTCATTTACCTTCCCTAGAAAATCCTCTTCTCCTGAATTAAACATTTATTACATTTCAATTTTAAAATGAATTCCAGCTAAAACATCAGGAGCATAAAGTGGAAAAAGACAATGATGCAGTCAAAAGCAGCCACAAAGCCATAAAACGAACTTTCAAATCATGCGTAGCCTGTAGATGTTGTGCAGCGTACACAGTCCAACACGTTTCCATCGACAAACAGTTCAGCTCAATTTTTATGTCGTGTCGAATGGATTTCTTGAGCTAAACTGTTATATAACAAGCATCCTTAAAGACACAGGTTCACATGTTCACGTAGTCCTTGAGTGAATGGGGCTCTTGGAAGAGTCAGATAAACAGCCGTAATGTTTATGACAGGATTAGATGAACATGTTCCTCCAGAGCGTTTGTTTAGAAACACCATCAATTACATTCGGACATTTCTCAGCAAAGCACACACACACACACACAGAGCAGCAGTCACCTGTGCTGCCATTCTGCGGTTTAGGACACCACCTCTGAAGTTCCAACCTTAAATAATGAGTTTCAAGACATTCACCCTATGAGCATTACAGTAAAAATGTGCACTTTCTTAATGGTTTTTATGACTCACTATAAGTAACTTTGCAACTATTTGTCAACTAACTTTATTTGCATTAGAAGCCAATATCAGCTAACACTTTATTGTGATGCTCCTTCAACATACATTATACTGACTTTAAGAAACGTACCTAACAGATACTCTAACGAGAGTTAGTTGACATGTAGTTGCAAAGTTATAGTTAGTAGAATGTCTAAAGTGGGACATTGAAATAAAGAGTAACCAAATGACTTTCTAGATAACAATTAAATAAAAAATGGGTCAGAAAAGTGTAGTTCTATCACTTACTTCAATATCTTCTAAAGCAATGACATTAACACTTTTTAAAGTGTCCATTTACGTTTGGGATTGCATTGCACTGTAATACTTATAATGAAGGTAAGCTTAATTGTATGCCTTCTTTTCTCCCCCAGTCTGAGTGGCCTAGTAATGGTCTGGATAAAAGATCATAGGGCATGTATATCAACAGACTGATGTGGTTGATAATCGTTACAAACTTTACAATTCAGGTAAATTCACACTTTATAGGGTCATATCAAAGAAGCTCATGAGTCCAAATAATACTGAAACACTGGAAGTTATAAGCTAGTTTATCAGGTTTTTATCCTTTTTAACTGTAGTACGTAGATTGCACATGAGATGTATTGGTTTACTTTAAGTCGTTCACAAGGCACAATGATCAGCAAAATAACTGACTGAAAGGTCTTTGATAGCATAAGGAAAACATACTTACTCTAGTCAATATGAAGAAGACCCTGTCCTTCGTGCCGTCACCAGTCAACCTGGAGCAATGGATTTAGTGTGAGAGTCGTTCCTGTTGCTGTTTCAGGAGTAAATGTCGTTACCATTAGAGAAATAAAAAAACAAGGCATTCAGCGAGGGGCAGAGAAAAGGAAATTGACACCTTAAAAGGACATAGTGTTTTTCTCAAGCCCACCCTCCTCTCCACACAGCACGTACGGTTTATAGTTCGTCCCTTTGTTAAAGCAAAGCCTTATTTGGGAAGAGGCCTGGGTGAGGACAGGATCCCAGCCAAGAGTCTTTAGTTTGGTCAGACCAGAATTCTCCAAATACCACATCACTGCATCAGCAGAGAGAGACAGAAAGGCTGTGCCAATGTCTGCTGGACGGTAGGGGAAGTTTAGACAGGGACATAAATGGAGTAGATTGACAGATGTGCTGTGTCGTTTTTACACATCAGAGAAATCTGTCCGCAGAGTTTGGTGTATTTGTCCTGGGATGTAGATGTAGAAGCACTGGATAAGAGCAGTGGGAGTGCTTCGGCTGAGATTGAGCAAAGTGATTTACTGACACTTCGGAAGCAGCCATCAACAAGGCCTTCTATGTACAAAACACTCCTAGTGTGCATGCAATATTACATCATCTAATGAGTATGTTATTGCTAATGTTGCAAACATGCTATACTGCTATTGTTTTACTGATCATTCAATGTAATGTAAACAAAAACAAAAATCTTTTCATGTCAATTTTGCCCCAAACGTTTCAACTTTACTTCTGGGTATTTTTTTGATTTGTAATGATAGAATGATAAAACTGGTATCATCTGAATAATCAGACTCTCTTTATCCCCATTTACTTCTACTGGACCCACACACACTTGCATGAAATGGGACGATGTATTAGCTGATGTGACGTTTTGTTGGGACTTTCCGTAAACATAATGAAACAGTTTTCTGCATTTTTACAATTTCAAAAAAACACCACAGAGTGATTTATAAGGTTTTTTGCTCAAGGGGACCAGAAATGTCCCCGGTAGACAAACCTTGCATTATCCCGGTCCACAATCCAGCATATGGAAGAAGATACTTGCTCAGGCGATTGATAAGGCCTCAGCAGAAGCACATATCGCTCTCCAAACTTCTCCAGTGGAGCATTGGATATAGTGTTGCAAATCTCTTGATTCCTTTAATGTCCTAAATGTAATTCAGCAATGCGTAATTATTCGAGGTGTGTTTGTAAATTCAGTAGAAGTCAATAGAAGCCTTAATAAACATAAGAAAAAATGACTGACAAAACTTTAGGAAGTTTCTGCTTTTACCTTTTTGAAAATGTAATGAAATGTGCTTCACACCACACCCAGACAGCAAACTGACATTGAATCAACGTGGAAACGACGTCTCTCATGACATTGAAACAGCGTTGATTTTGCTCATCGAATTAACGTTGAACCAACGTCAGACGCGGCATTCTTCAAAGCTAAATGAAAATCGAAAATTGGTTTGCTTTCATAACGTTGAAACAACGTTGATTTCAGGTTGATTTTCCGTTAGTTTTGAAAGAATGACGCGTCTGACGTTGGTTCAACGTTAATTCGATGAGCAAAACAATGTTAGATCAACGTTGTTTCAATGTCATGTTTCCATGTTGATTCATTGTCAGTTTCCTATCTGGGCAGTCATTTTAAAAACATCAATGCATTCACTCAACCATAAAAGATCCATCAGCTTGACGACAAGATCCATAATTCAGCTTAATGTGGAATATACGTCATCAATATACCTTTGTTATTGTAAGAGGTTAGCGACCCCTGGTGGTGAACAATCCTGCATATTGTACCTTTAAGTGTTCTTGTGAGCATTACAACACAGCACACATAGACCACACAATGCAAATAAAATAACCACACAAGACCAAACAACTTAATAAACAGTTATTTAAAAATATTGCGAAAAACTGTTACATGTGTTTAAGGCAGCATGTTGCTGTTAAATTTATATTTCTTATACATTTCTGTCTTGTATTCAATGATGCTGTGTTGTGGTGTTCAAGTGGAAGGTAATTAATTGTGTTTTTTGTGTGCAAATGTAGTAAGTTTTTTCAGACAAAACACACTACAGTTACTTTCTGTACTGACAAAACAGTTTGTTGTCCCGATGTTGTCCTACTATTGTTGTATTTACATGTAATGCAATAGTTCCATAAATGTCTTCTGTAAAATAGTACTTTTAAACATGTATTGCTGTAATATATACTTTAAGCACTTTGAAATTTAGCTAGGGTTGGGAACCGAGAACCGGTTCTTTTCCAGAACCGGTTGTGTTTTTGAAAAAATACTGGAACCGTGCAAAATTCCTAAGTTTCGGTTCCGAAAACGGTTCTGATGCCGATGCGATATCATCATGTGGGCGAAGTGCTGGGAGTAGATTATCCTTTAGCGTTTTACCTCAAGACGCAGAGTGAGAGAGAGAGTAGAGCTGCATGATTATCTTTAAAAGATATCGATTCAATCACCTAACTATTACGGCGTCTTATTCCTAAATGACAAAAAACTTCACCACTGAAGTTGCGATTTGCTCTCACACCCGCTGGATTTGTCACACACAGACACACGCGCGCACCGACCGCCGAGTCACTCTCTAGCCTACATTCAAATCAGTTTGCGCTGAGAGAGAGAGAGCAGTATCACACAGTATAATCACACAGTATCAATATTTATGTGTTTCACATATTCAAATGATTACTGTTACAGAATAAGTGAGATTATAGTTTGAGTAAACATTGCCTGTAGTGGTCAAAACTGATGCAGTCCGTATCTTTTTTTGTGTTCAGAATTTACAAAATATATACAATGAGCGAGTGCATCATATTGTTTTTTTTTTTTTTCAAACCGTGTTTTTGTCTTATCTTGAATCACTACGTAAAGCCTGTAATAAGCGTTAATACTCTGACTTCTTGTTTAGACTGGCCGGAGACTGCGGAGTAGCCCAACCCAGATAGCAAACTGACATTGAATCAACGTGGAAATATGACATCGAAACAACGTTGATCTGACATTGTTTTGCTCATCGAATTAACGTCGAACCAACGTCAGACGCGTCATTCTTTCAAAACTAACGGAAAATCAACTTGAAATCAACGCGTTGTTTCAACGTTATGAAAGCAAACCAATTTTCGATTTTCATTTAGCTTTGAAGAATGCCGCGTCTGACGTTGGTTCAACGTTAATTCGATGAGCAAAATCAACGTTGTTTCAATGTCACGAGAGACGTCGTTTCCACGTTGATTCAATGTCAGTTTGCTGTCTGGGAATGCCTGCGTGACTCGTCATCGACATAAACAGAGAGAAGTAGCTCCGGCAACTATGTTCTTCCGCAAGACGCATGCAGTTCTGTTTATTAACTGCTAGAGCGCCGATTTATCCAGTAATGAAATAAGTAGTCTTTATGAATCAATCATTCAAACCGTTTTAAAAAATACAACACACATTGCAACACAAGCTCCAACAATTATAACACACACAAACTAAAAACAAAACATACAGTCATCAATAAAAAGTATACAAAAGTACTTAAATAATATTAAAAACGCGGCGCTCCCATTGAAAACATACGCCAGGTGCGTGGAAAAACTCTTTGGACACACGGCCTAAGTGTTTTTTTTAAATCTGCTTGTATTTTTTATTATTTTGTTTATTGTAATTTTTGTATTTTTGTCATTTGTCTAGGGACTATGGATGTAAATTAGCCCTGTGGCTATAATCCGGCATGTTTACGTCTGTTTTGTTGTCTCAATTCAGATGTTCATTAATGTGCATTGTCCCTATCAAATAAATAAATAAAACACATATAATGCCTTGTAAACATATAACATGGCTGCATTTTTCTATGATAAATTTAATACAATTTGAGATGTCGGAAAGGCAATATAACAACTTTCATTATTGCCAATCATCAGCAAGAGGTATTTTTTTATTTGTGTGTGTGTGTGTGTGTGTGTGTGTGTGTGTGCGTGTAAATTATAATTGTTTGTAGTCAGTAATCATGTTTTGAAAGACAGACAATGAAACAAACAAAAAAAAAATGCTCACCTTGTAAAATACAATTTTCAGGCTATAGGGACTGTTTTGGGGTTTTGAAATACACTTGTCCCCAGAAGAAGATTTTGGCATCAAAATTAATGACATTCTTTTATACGACTTCCACTGTCTCCACAATTTCACCATCAACTATTCAATTTCAATTTTTGTACAAAAAAATCTGTAAAGCAAATGGGGCTTATAAATCTAATAAAATATGAAGTCACCCTTGCTAGTTTTGCATAATCAGCATAATTCATAATAATAATTTTAAAAAATCCAAACATTTAGACAAAATAACCATTCATTTTAAATAATTATAATGGCGATCATCTGTAGACAGTACTTTAACACAGTGTTTCTTGTTTACAAGATATACATGTAACAGTAATCTAAGTAACTTGATTTTGAATTATTGCTGTAATTCAGTTTTCTTCGCAAATATGTTACAGTACAAACATTTTTTTTGTACAAGTTAATGTACTGAACCACTTTCACTGACGTTAAGCTTCCAGTCGTGAAATGATTCATCGTACTCTGGCTCCCTCTGGTGGACAATAGCAATCACCTGTCCAACAGTGTTTTCCGGATTGTTCGGATAATCCTTGAAGACTGGTGACTCCGGTAAGAGAGTAAGGGCTCGGAGAGTTACATTCAAATCTTTATTTTGAATTGTATTTTTTGTTTGTGACACTAGAGGGCGTATATATATTTTGAGTATATATATATAAGGTGATGATGAGTTTATTCCAATAAGGTGATGATGACTCCCCTGTTTATTGTCTTTACAATACAACTAACACCCATGATTGTAAACTATGCTTTCACTGTCTAGCAATTGCTGGGTTAGGGTTAGGGTTGGTTACTCCAGCTCTGAACGAACCCTCTGCTCCTCACCACGGTGTGTTTCGGTGCTGCGGTAATCACTCACCCAAGTAACAGTGCTTCACCTTCTGAGAATATAGTTCCCAATATTTATACGGTTAAAAGATGGCTGTGTCTCATATGACCTTATTATTTGTACACTCTGTGACTATACGAACAAACTGATAGGTTCACAGGTTTGCATGACATAAGCCAATCATATCGAGCCAACACTTAGTGTGAGCGAACCTTTGGATTATGCTACGGTGGGCATCTGGGGGGTATTCATTTGGCGAGACATAAATAAGACATCAAGTAAATGTATGGGGTAAGGGATATACCTGGAAGTGCCACAGAAAGCTATTAAAGTAACCTTTATTCATAAAGCCATATACTCTGTTGCAATGGTAGGGTACATGCTGATTTTGTAATTTGTTTGAAAATTCCACACAAAGAATTACAGATTAACATCTTTTCAAAAGTGTTTTAATGGAAGGTATTACAATGAAAATCGTTATTTATGTGCTTACAGGTCTCATTACTCAGAGAATGGATAGATCAGGTATCCACTGAAAGTGTTATAGCCCTGGGTGTCTCCACAAAGCTGTCTGCCTGAAAGCAACTCAACATAGACTTGACAGCCATGTCTAAGCTGAAGAAGAACAGTCTGAGTACTACTATCCTCTGAATCCTCACGGTTATCCTCCCAGGATGAGGCAATCAGCTGCCCGTTCTTCATCAACTGCAGCTTCTGGTAGAGCCGCTCGCCTGCAGCGGCAGCTTTGGAGTAAGCCGTGAAGGAGAAGGAGTAGAGGCCGGCGTGGGGGGCCGTGAATGTACCTGTGAAGAACCAGGTTCAGCTTGAATACTTTGTATTGTTGGCTAACTCAGATTTATTTTGAGAAGCTGTTTCTATAAGGATGAATTGAACAAAATGCACTGCATATGGTCATAACATATGAGTTAAGTTTGACCAAATACTAAGCATAATTTAAATGAGATGTTGGGTTAATCATTTGCACATGTCAATGAAATCTACTAATTTGAATTCTAGCATTTGTTTTTGGCCCAGTGAATCTAAGGCGATGTTTACATTAATCCGGATACGTTTGAAATCAGCGTTTTGTTTAAAACTAGCTTTTTTGTTGTTCACTAGCTTTTTCCAACATTTCAGTGTGGATAAGAAACTTTTGGAAAAAGCTAAATTCACCTTACTGCGCATGGGTAAAACCTCACAAAAGCTCAATGAGATGATACTGATGGAAAGATAAAGAATAAAGTTATCACGCAAATCTAATGACAGGATAATTTTATTTAGCAAAATATCTTAGCATTCACTGAGGTAACACTTTGGTCTAAAACGCGAAACCTGCTTTACCACAGGACAGCCAATGTATGTCATCTTCGCAGGACAGTGATATGAAGAGTGTGCAAAGTAATATATTTTAGCAACAATGTGAAAGTGAATAGCACATAACAAACACATTACCGATATAAACATGAATTGGTACAATATGCGTCACATGACGAAACTTACGTCATCATTTAAAAAAAAAAATTTGACAGTCCACACTAAAACGCGAAAAAGGCGTTGTGGCGAGCAGGATGATGCCAACGAATTTGGGAATGATGCATCCAATTTTCAGCATCAATTTTGCATCTTGCATCAAAATTCTGTCTATTCATTAAATGCATTTAGTGTATACTGTACCTAAAATAAAAAGAGTTTTGGCTCTTAACTTCTTTGTATTAATTGACCATTTGTAAACTGCGGCAGTCCTGTGGACGAAGATGCACAGCAAAATCCCCAGTGTACATATGTACACTCTTGGTCCAACTCCAGGGTGTTAAAAATGAACACTGAAGCAGTGTTGAAGTTAATGAGATAATTAAGTGATTAATTAAGTGATGATTGGCCAGTAGTGGTGACACCTGATGTTAATAAGAAGAATCATTGTAGGAAATAGAAACAACAAGAACAGAAAAAAAGAGAAACACAAGAACTACTGACTTTGAGCCATTACACATTATTGTACTTATTATCAATGTATTTTGTGATACATCTACAGACATTCTTATTTGTATTGAACAGAAGTTTAGATGATGATGGCTGTGTTTCCCGTAAGCCAAATTTGATCGTGCAGACCTTTGGTTGCAATTGTTCTACGATCAGGTTAGGCTTAAAATGCTTTTGGGAAACACAGCCCAGGTCATGATGGTTATGTTTAAATGATGAAATTAAATATTGTAGTGTCTTGATTCACTCAACCAGCATTATAAACTGAGTATACAAAGGTTCTACTCATTTTCATTACAGTAGCTAATTTCAACAGTGCTTTACTATTCTGAAGGTTTTAAAATCCCACACAGATATCAAGAATCTACATATGAATCTCCAGAATGGTGACAATCACACAATAGATTCATGTTGCAGTGCATGATGGGAGCCACCAATCAAAATGCATCCATGGCTCCCACCATGCATTGCAGTTTGAATAAATTATGCAACTGAATTGTCCTGTAATTTTCATTGTTTTTCCTGTTTGTTTTTATTTTGCTATTGTTTTGTTGTTACTGTAATAGCTTCTTTTGTGATGTTCAGGGTTGATCTGTGTGTCACTAGTTTGTTTATTTTCACCATTGTTGTGATTCATATGCTGATTCTTGATGTTTGTGTGTCTAAACACAAAAGCTCAAGTGAATTTTCAAACTTGTTCACATTGCTGTTGGATCTCAAACTGTAGAAACTCAGGGCTACAATCACCAATGCTAAAACACCACATCACTCATATTGTCAAAGATTTAGACTCTGAATGACATCAGTCAATCAGGTCACAACATGTTGATAACATCATCATCACAACATATTGTTAACAGGTTTTCTCAAGCAATAACAAATGTGCTTTATAAACACAATTTTGAAGCAGCAACTAAAAAGAAATAAAAAGTGTCAAGAGCCCAATTACAGCAAACACTGACCACCATAATGGTGGCTTGAAATGAACAATACCATAAAACATTGCCACCGAAACTTCTGTTGAATCTCAATAACTTTTGTAGATGTATGACAGAAATAAAGTCACATTGGTAATATTAAGTACAATAATGTGTAATGGCTCGAAGTCAATAGTTCTTGAGTTTCTCTTTCCTTCATTGATTCTTCTTATTAACATTAGGTGTCACCACTAATGAGCAATCATCACTTAATTAATCACTTAATTATCTCATTAACTTCAACACTGCTTCAGTGTTCATTTTTAACACCCTGGAGTTGGACCTATATGTACACCGAGAGTGTATATATGTACACTGGGGATTTTGCTGTGTGCCTTGTTGATGCTCGAGGTCAGAGGAGAATGGGCCGACTGATTCAAGCTGATAGAAGAGTGACTTTGACTGAAATAACCACTCGTTACAACCGAGCAGTAGTGGTTTTAGGCACAGGCGGACCGGGCAGTCGCCCGGGGTGGCATTTTTTCATGTCACATGGGGGGCGGCACAAGCAGTTAAAAAAATCCTCTGTGCCGTGAAGGTTTTCTATTGTTATCATTTCAATTCAATTATTGGCAATGGCGCCCCTGCTTGCTGAGAAGGTGCCATGCATAGAAGCGATGTCAAGGGGGTCTCCTGATTGAAGGAGCTTTCAAATGTAAGCGCCATGTCCATGTCCATCCCTTTATGGCCACCATGTCCCCATCCTCTGATGGCTACTTCCAGCAGGATAATGCACCATGTCACAAAGCTCCAATCATTTCAAATTGGTTTCTTGAACATGACAATGAGTTGACTGTACTAAAATGGCCCCCAAAGTCACCAGATCTCAACCCAATAGAGCATCTTTGGGATGTGGTGGAACGGGAGCTTCGTGCCCTGGATGTGCATCCCACAAATCTCCATCAACTGCAAGATGCTCTCCTATCAATATGGGCCAACATTTCTAAAGAACGCTTTCAGCACCTTGTTGAATCAATGCCATGTTGAATTAAGGCAGTTCTGAAGGCGAAAGGGGGTCAAACACAGTATTAGTGTGGTGTTCCTAATAATCCTTTAGGTGAGTGTATATAAAAATCAAAATATAAATGAAAGTCAAAAGCACATTTTTAGTCATACCTGGAAATAAATCAAGGTCAAATATGTTATATGGGCCATTCTATAGAATTGGTTCAAAGTTAGAGTTGGAAACATCTTGAAAAGAAAATTCTCTTTTTCCATAAATGTCTTATGTTAAAGAGATTTATGGAATGTCTCCCTACTTGGTGGACACGGAGCAGGCTGTGGTTATGGAACAAGAAGTACAGACTGTTCAGCGAAAGGAGGCTACAGAAAGGGTTTAGGTTTCCTTTTTTAATGTGATTATCCTCCTGCTTTAAATTAAATTTTGTGTTAATAAAACTTTTTTACCATTTTCATATCCAAGTATCAGCCTACCTTTATTAGGGATGTGAATCTGAGTGACCTAAGAATAATAATTTATGTTGTCCATATTTCCCGGGGGGCAAATTCTCTTTACCTTTCCTTTACCAGCCTTCCGTCACATAATCAAGAACTATTCAGAACTGCCTTTGAGTCCTCCAATTGTTTTTTGATATTAGGATTATGACATAGCCCTAAAATGTAAAGTACTGTTGCACAGTGTTTTTTTTTTTGCCTGCTTACCCAATGCAGAATTGTACCCATTCCCCTGATTGAGTGAGACAGACTCGTAACTGATGGACATGTTGCTGGTGAAAGGCCCAAGACATCCACTCATTGGCAGCATTGCAGCAGTGAAGGCTATCTTAGATCCAGCTTGAAGATGGGACAGAAAGCAAAGGAAATTATGCAAACATTTGCACAATGTTTTATCTCAGATAAGTAAATGTGAGGTGACAATTGGGATGACTACCTGTGACTTCCTCTATTTGGTTGTTCAGGTGAGACAATCCTTCCCATAAGCCAACCAAACGTATGAAGGTGGCCTCCTCCATCTCAAACAGTGGCTTCGCAACACAACAACAACCCTGCTGTTTCCTGAATGCACATTCACAGTCCCATCCACCACAGGGCAGAGTCCCTGCCCAACTCACTGAATGGAGTGGAAAAGGAACAAAAGTTAGTAGAAGTGAATCAAAGCCCTGCAAAACCGGCAATTATATGAACCTGAAAATAATTAATGGTCAAATGAATCACCAGCAGTTTCACGCAGGAGGTCAAAGGCAGTGGAAGCCTCTGAACTTGAGCAGAGACAGAAAATCATCAAAATACATGGAGCAGCGAGTGTCTTCATCCTCAGATTCCCCAGAATCCAACTGTCCTTTAAAATAAAACTGTTTTATACATTTAAAATAAAACAATTTTATACATTTAAAAAAAAATAATTATACATTTTAAAAGAATAATTATATATATATATATATATATATATATATATATATATACATATTACATACACAGACACACACACACACACACACACATACACACTGTAACGAATGGCTGGAGGCAAGCTGGTAAGGACCCAAACGCAACCTTTAATATAACTTAATCAAAACTCAAAACAAAGGCATGGCAAGGCATGAAACTGGAACAGAAACAACGACAGCGCAGGCAACCCCTCGGACGGCCAGGGTGGAGGCGACCAGGGCGGAGCAGGCTGAGCAGTCGAACAAGGCGGAGCAGGATGAAAGGGGCGGCCAACGCGGTGAAGACACCTCGGGCGGCCAAGGCGGTGAAGACCCCACCCCCACCCCCCCCCCCTCACTGTCTGACGCCAGGGTAGATCAGCTGGCCTTCTCTACAGATGCAGCGATCTCATCGTCATAAATGGCGAAAGCGGCGGCGCACGACAGCCGTTGTCCGTCAGTGAGCGGCTCGAGTGAAGCTGGTGAAGCTCGCTGGTTTCACGGACTGGAGAAGGCTCGGGGACCGTATGGCGCTTTTACGGCGCGGCACTACAGCGGGCGCGAGTGCAGACTTGGAGAACTATGTCAGGCGAGTCCTTGGAGTCACCGTAGGCAATAGCTCGCAGTGAGGGCAGCCGCTGTCAGCGAGCGCGAGTGCTGCATGATGCTCTTATAGGCAGGAAACGCAGATGAGGCGGTCCCTGTCGCTGAGTGGGGCACGGCATGAGCCGCATGAGGATGGCATCTTTATAAAGACGCAGATGTTTTAGTAAGTGAGTCGCGGGGGCGAACACACAGTGAGCAGAGTGTTAAAGGACAAAGACGCCAGATAGCGTAGCAGGGACGGCGACTGAAGGCGCTGAGTTACAGGCCAGTGACTTCAGTAGAATGGCTCGTCCAGCAGAAGAATTTTCGACGGCGCGGCTTCTCACTCAGGATCCAGCGATGCGTGCACTTCGCTGAAGAGATGAAAAATCAGTGATATCAGCCCATCGAGCTATATTTGTAGGGCTAGGCCACGCCCGCTTCGCCCCCATTCAACCGTCACCAAAGGGCCGCTCTCGATGGGCTGCTGCAGTTGCGGCAGGACAGCCAATAGGCACGCTAAGCCGCCTTGCCTAAGTCTGCATGCTGCCGCAACACGTTTAACAATAATTCAAAATTAAGGATAATTTTTTGGTCTTCAATATTTCGAGGAAAAGAGGCTTCTCTTTAGTGTAAGATATTACGCACTCTCGTAAGATATTATAACCTCTCGTAAGAGAACCGAGGTTACGTTAGAAACCAAGTATGTTTTTGGTTGGCAGGAAAAATGGTCCAATCGTTCGGTTAGTAATGCATACCTCGTATTGAACGCTTTTATTCAGTTTTTGATTCAGCACTCTCTTGCTCCTTCCTCTCCACCAGATTGTTTAGTAATTTTTTTTATTGAAAAAGCGTATAATGTGCTTGTGGTTTTTCAGACTTGGTCTGAAGATTCGGTACATGAGTGAATGGTTTCACTGAGTGACCTAACTTTCTTACGCACAGTAGGTCACGTGACAAGAACCAACCGGAGCACAACCGCCCTAGCGCTTTGGAAAAAGGAGAATGCGGCGCGCCCAGCATTTTCTACGCATTTTTAGGCGCTATATGTGAATCCGGCCTTAGTGAATACGCAAATAAAAAAAACTGTAAGCTAAAAGGGGAAATGGAGAATTTTCCAATTAAGTTTTTCATTAATGCTTATGCTGAAAGTATCATTTATATTAAATTAAAAATACAATATTGAAGTATTATCACCAAAGCCGGGGGAAGAAATGTAGTGTAGAAATTAGTCAGCCAGTGTAGAAATTAAGGAACAGGGAGATGTCTTTTTGGCCAGAAGAATCAATGGAATCAAATAGACAGACGCTAAAATACGACATTGAAAAACTACAGTGCCAGCTGAGAATAAATATGACAACCAAAAGCAGGATAAATACCCAAACATAAACCAGACGTTGTGAATTATTGATATAAAACTACTACTAATGTGTCTAAAGGTAGTAACTAGTTACAAATATATATTACTTGATACTGCCTCAATACTATGTTTTTCAAAAGTTGCATGCAAAAAAATACATACAAATTAGAATTCTGCTTTTTAGAATTCTGTGCAAATTAGAATTCTGTGTTTTTAAATATAATTTATTTTAACACTTACTGCTATGAAGAAACAGATGAGGTGCAGAAGAACGGAGTCAGTCACAGACCAGAACTGTAAGTGGAGCGTTCTGTGCTGCTTTATGCAGTGGGTGGAGTTGCTCTGAGTTCCTCACCCTCTGAAGCATCTGATAAGACTGAAAAAGTAAAGAAAGAATATGGGACACCACAATGCCATTCATTTGTTCCACTTGAACATGAATACATGGAAAAGATATTTTGAAACTGATACCCACATTATATTTCTTACCAGGATATTTCTTACCAGGATAGCAGGTCTCTTTCAACTCCTCATGGACTACAGATAATATCATTCCAGCTGCAGAGTGATTGTTCACCAGTCATTTTAGCGACAAATGAAGAATGTGGCAAAATCTGAAGTCCACATCTAGAGGTGGGTGCAGGATTTGGTTTCCTGATTCTCAGAACAGGGTGTAGACTAGAGAAAGATGTGAATCTAATATCATTGTTTACAGTGTTGTCTCATATGTGCCTGTATTTTAATATTATCCCAAATCTTGAACACAAATTTACTATGACTGTAATTTAAGATTAAAGTGATATATTGGCAAATAATCACTTATTTTAAGCATGAAACGGCCATTGAAGTGTAAAATGAAACTCGTGTTTGTGTGTCTGCCACAAAGAAAAAATATCCTGAAAATAGAAAAGTTTCTAAAGTTTCTGCATGTTTCTAGCAGACTGCCAGGCACACAAACATGAAATGTCCCAGGCCTGGACCTCTCTCACCCTCCACTGTAGTCACTCGTCCCTTTATCCTTCCATCCTTCCGGAGATCCTCCATGGACTTGAGACAGGTGTGTCGCTTGGGTGTCTCTCATTAGGCTTCATTCCACCGGGATTGCACTGTTCCCACGGAACAATCTTGGATAAGTGTCCTACATTGTACTTTTACAAATAATGCAATCAATACAGACAATGATGTGCAAATGTAGATGTTTTGCATGTACAAAGCTTATACAGTAAAGGTGAAGAGTTGAGTTTTGTCAACAAAACAAAAAACAGATGGCATCCCAGATAGCAAACAGATCCGGAACGGATCTGCCGCGGAGGTAAGAACAAGGTCCGGAACGGAGTCCACTTGCACAGCGCAACGGATCTGGAACAGATAAGGATTGCGATCTGGATCCGATCTGGACCCGTTCATTTCGGTCTGAAAACCTTTCAGATCACTCATTCAAAACTAGTAATCTGGCCAAAACTACAAAAATATTTCAAATCTATTGGTGGACCAACATTATATAGACTGCCCTCTAAACAACATGATGTCCAAAAGATCTCTTTTCAACGTCTTTGTCACAAAAGTCGAATGCTGAAAAGACGTCCACTGAGGAGCCAAAATTAAAGTTTTTATGACGTGTTTTTTTGACGTGTTCTGCACGTCCGATATAGATGTTCATTGAACCTTCGTACAAGTTTAAAAACTAGGTCAAATGTGGCCATCGTGTTTAAAACTCATGTTTATATCAATGTAATTTCCTTACATTGTTTAGATGAGGTTTAGATGTTGTTTCATTTTAAGTCACCATTGTGGTGATCAGTGTTTGCTTTAGTTGGGCTCTTGGTCCTAATTCTTCTTACTTTAACTTTTCTTTGGTTTTTGTAACTGTGTATTTGTATAACACTATTATTGTTGCAAAGAAAGCCAAGAAAAAGTAAGATATGCTATCATCAGCTCTTTGTTGATGATGACAAAAACACAAAGTGAGCATTTAATGTTGTGTGTACACTTTTGTCCTAATATCTGCTGTTTATAATCACCTATCTTGTGGAACTGTGTTATTTGAACCAGTACCATTAAAATTAACACTTATTTGAAGGTGATTAAAAATTCGATTAAAAAATGTATCTAATTAATTAGAGGCTTTGTAATTAATTAATTGAAATTAATCGCATAAATATTTGACCTGAGTACACACTGATGGCCTAAGACATGAAACGAGCAGTTTGTGTGAGAAAACGAACAGTATTTATATAGTTTTTACCTCTCAACATGGCATCATGACTTTGCGTAAACATACATGCCACTTTCAAGTCAAGTGGCGTGTTATCTATACGCATTTTGAGCTATCCGCGTGTATGTCCACGCCAAAACGAACCGTCATCCTTTGCGTGTATGTCTACCATAGACTGTAAAAACCCATAGACTTTCTGAAGAACGGGTTTGAGGCTGTTTATGGGGGTATGGGCGGCGCCATACTGGAAAATCTTGGGAAATACAAATGTTCAGAAAGGATACAGAGGTGGTATGATGTGTTGTGTCAGATCATGGCCGAGGCGTCAAATTCCACTCAGCGCAGCCCGTTATCAGCTGTCAATCAAAGTTAACCGCCCTTATTTGTCATACGTTTTATATCTAAATACGATCTAAACTAACGAGTTAGAAAAAAATTCACCCCCCTCACAGTTGTCAGGCACGCGGAACATATTGAAGATTACAATAAAAGTTCATGGGACCAAACTGTAAAAACATGAATTTATGCTGTGAAAACGGACATTTTAACATGGGGTAAATGGACATTTGCTCCCTTTTGGGACCGGCCTCTAGCGGATTTTTGCGGACCCCTGCTCTTGTTTACTCTGTTAATAGAAGACATTTCATATCCTAATAACATATGCTATATGCTAAAGTATTCATTATATTCATTATATTATATTCATTTGCTAAAAACATCATAAAGTTTGCAAAGTGCTGCCGCTGAATTGGCTCGCGGAGGAATGTAAACAGCGGCCAGAAACACAGAAGTGAATACCCTCGGTAGATAGTAGGGACGGCATTTCAGAATTAAAAACTCCACGTCCGGTGAGCAATGTTTATAGACAGTCTGTATATCTCCGCACCACAGATTATTAATGAATACACACACACCTCCTCCTTTCGTCTAGCCGGAGGCTGCTGTCCGGTCTCCCCGGTGCACAGAGTGAGTCGGTAGCTGAACAGAGGATTCCGGGACTTTCTCTGAGAGTCAGGTCTCTGTAAAAATCAGAGCACAGCACTCCCTTTCCTCCCGTTGTGATGTGATCCTTGCTCTCAGCTCGTCCAGTTTGTTTTCTAAAGACCGCACGTTAGCTAGCAAAAGGCTGGGTAGTGGTGGTCGGCTAGCGCAGGCTTTTAGCCTAGCATGAAGCCCTCCCCTCTTGCCTCGCTTGCGTCGCCGTCTCCGGAGCGCTCTCCTCGGATCAGCCTCTCGCTCAAACCCGGCACTTCGAGGCCCACCTGGGAGCGGTGGCGGTGGTTTCGGGAGCGGGTAATGAGTTGTCAAGTCAAGTCACATTTATTTATATAGCGCTTTTCACAATACAGATTGTATCAAAGCAGCTTCACAGTGATAAGATGAAAGTAGTACAACACAGATCAATAATATTGTTAAATATTAAATATTAAATAACCCCAACTAAGCTAGCCAAAAGCAAGCCAAAAGCAAGGCGACAGTGGCAAGGAACAAAACTCCATCAGATTGGATGGAGAAAAAAACCTTGGGAGAACCCAGGCTCAGTCGGGGGCCAGTTCTCCTCTGGCTTACATTCATATTGTTTATATATAAATATTAAATATAATATTGTTTATGTATAAAACGGCGCCACAACATATCGCAGGCGTTGAGTCGTCTCTTCACAGGTGCTGGTTTTCTCATCACAGGCGTTGGGGCATCCGAAATCCCCGTGAGAGGTTGGATACAAAACTGGACCTGACGAACGCCATTTTTCTCTGGACAAGCGTCCCGAGATAACAGCAGAAAGGCAGATGGGAAATAATTAGCATAGCTGATGTTCATAATGATTTCCATTATACGGGAGTCGGTGTTAGAAAACCACTATCTCACAAACTCTCCGTAACCTGAACTCTCCGTAACCCAACCATACGAGCCGACCTGTTTGACTAAGGCTGTCGAGCCCCACTGGTGCGTTAAGCAGTTTCAGTGGCAAACGGTTCCGTATGGCATAACAGAGGACTAGAAGGTAAGCATTATGTGAATGCTTGACTAAAGAGAAGCGTCTTTAATCTAGTTTTAAACTGTGTCAGCGAGTCAGAGCCTCGGACCGTATCGGGAAGGCCATTCCAGAGTTTTGGAGCTAAATGCGAGAACGCCCTCCCTCCTTTACTGGACTTCGATATCCTAGGAATGACCAGAAGCCTTGAATTTAGTGATCTTAAGGAACGCGGTGGATTGTAGGGCAAAAGAAGTTGTAACTCAAGTGGTATAAAGCCGGTGAATTTAAAATGGTTAGCTGAATTGGCAATGTCCAGTAATGCCTGTCTTTTGTAAATTAGCAATGTATGACAGTTATGCACTACAAAAGAAGCAAGAAACAAACAAAGATAAAAGAAAAGCTGGCATTCAAGAGCGGAGTGAGCAAACACGTCTGCCACGGAGGGCGCCATTTTGCCATCTTGATGTTCCTGTCACTCTTAAAGGGTATGTTGGATGGCGCTCGGATTGGTTTATTTCACTTTACGCCCAAACCACACCTATGAATAATGAAGCTACTCCAGACCAACCCCTTTTAGATTTGCGCCAGGAGCAAGAGGCATTTAACCCTGTTGGGAAAATAGCAACAGCGCTGGGACCCGCCCACAAAGTTACTTGCGCTGTGCGCTTTTACACTTGCGTTTCAGATCGTTAAAATAGGGCCCTAAGTGTTAATTTGCATTTCTGTTGCAGATCGATCAAACGGGTCTAGGCTGTTAATTGTAAGACTTTCTTTGTGAAGTCTTCGTGTTATTTATGAGAGGCAGTATTGCCATTTATTTTACACAACCGTCTACAGTTTCACACACTTTCACGTGTTTTTTCCATCCGCTGACGGTGTCGCCATTTCTCATTTCAGCCGTTTTTGTGCGTACGCCTGGGTCAGAGCTGGCGTGAAGGACCGCACATTTTACCGTCAAGTTTGCTTTTTATAAATACCAACTATTGCGTAGAGAGCGGCGTACACCTTCTTTTGTGCGTACGCAACATTTATAAATGAGGCCCCTGGTCTTCACTTCTGACTTCCTACACTTTAGAAGAAAAAAAGTTCACAACAGTTTGTGATAATTATTTAATTTCATTGTAAATGTTCTGCTAATATTTTATATTTCAATATAAATCTTTCAGAAAGGCAAGGGTTTATCATCATTCTGATTGTAATGTGTTTTTTATCTGTTTTGAAAGCAGTGGAAAAATGTGCCGCAAATATATAGTTTGCAGATGAATGACAACTGTGTTCATGGATTTTGGGAAATGTGGTTATTGAATCAATGTTACATGAAAGTCACAAAAAATGATCCACAGTTTGGTTCTGTTTCACTGTATGAGTTTTGAACATGTGGCTTCAGTATTTAACAATTCTTGTTAGCAATTGAAAATAAAAGTAAAACACTGTAACTTAAATAATTTAACATCATGTTAAATAAATTGCATTATGTAAATTACACTTTTTACGAAGCATTCCAACTTTTGGAATTATAAATTGAAACAATTCAATAAATATGTCGTAAAGCCTGAACCTGTATTAATATATTCCAATTATAAATATATCATTAAGCCTGTAATGGTTTACTGTTAGAACTAAATGCAAATTCAACACCGTTTAAGTGTGAGCTGAATCGATGTGTGTTGCTTTTGGGGTAAGAGAAGGTCAAGTGAACGTGTCAGAGAAAAAGAACCATAATGTTTATTTCAACACAAAAGTAGTATTTTTAATCATGTTCTTTGCATTGAAACAATTGTAATCTTACATTTTGTTTTTGAACTCTTAGAGTAGCTTAAAAGGCGTCTTGTTTTAGTTCATTTAAACACATAGTGTGTCACAAATAGAGAGAAACATAATATTTCTTAAGAGGGCAGAGGAAATGTGTTTGAAATCACAATATATATCATTCTTGCACCAATGAAATCAATTGTCGCACACTGTATTTTACACATTAAAAAGTAAAACAGTGTAAACCGTGTATGTCAATTTAAAAAAACAGTATTAATTGTCTGTATATTAATCAGTGGCATAGAGCAGGAACCCGGTGAAAGTGTTGTAGTGGTTGTTATCGTCGCACAGAAAGCAGCCGGCTGGAAGAGCAACATCCACCCGGTCTCCTGCATTCAGCTGCACTGCCAGCACAGCGCTAACGCTGTCCTCCTGGTCTTGGTTGTTCTTCTCACTCGGTGACGCGAGTGTGCGTCCGTTCAGCTGGAGTCGAGCACAAGCAGCCAGCGTGGCTCCGGCAGCACCAGCATCACTATAAACAGTTAGTGCCAGGCTGTAGACACCAGAACGTGGAGCCACAAAAGCACCAGTGTTGGTGCTGTAGCCATCTCCCAAGTTAATAAACACACTGCCATACTTCACCACGGAGTCTTCGCGATTCGGGCCGACACATAGGCGTGTGTCAGTCAGAGCCACAGAGAAGGCACTGCGACTGGCTGTCCAAAGATAAGAAGAGGGAAAGTGATTCAGCCATTTTATGACACTTTCTGAAGAATAACGCTGTGCTAAGAGGAGAGTAGAACAGTGTTAACCTTTTAGGCAGGTTCATGTTTCAGGGTTTGCTTTTGAGGTATTTAAAGGGGTGATGAACTGAGAAATCAAATTTTCCTTGAGCTTTTGACATCTATCATCATATTATAAGAATATCCTGTAAGTTTCAAAACTGAAAACGTCCTTGTTAGTCCAATAAAAGCTTTTATTCACACCAGGCTCAGCAAACGACTCTTTTTTTTTTAAAGTGGGGAACTATGACGTCAAAGAGGATAAAACCCCACCCCCGCAGAAGAAGATCAACGCCTGCTTCACCACGGCCGGTTTAGCCCCGCCCACCGATTCGCGCATTACACGCATAGCTAAATAACATGCCTACCTGTTTACTTCCAAGTCTTCAGTGTGAGACGCCCATAAAAACAGAGTGTTTTTCAGCTAGGCTCAAAACTAGGGTACAAAATAGCTTATTACTTATTTATTTTTATGTTTTTGAATGCAAAAACCAAGCGAACGTCATAAGTTGACCTCAGACAACAATATAATAAAATTTAAAAAGCCAGTTCATGACCCCTTTAAATGTATTCACTCAATATGTGTCATGTTTTCTGTTGGCTGTGTAAGAGAATTAACACATCCACTTGGCTCCATAAAAGCAACTATAGATTGTTGAATAGATAATGCAAAATCACAACTCAATATGCAAATAGATTGAAATAAGAATAATTGTAATCCAGCATGTAAAATTACGATCTCATCGCTGACTACCGAATTCTTAACCTTCTAATAATACATTTTAGCACGTGATTTTCAATGCATTTTGAAGTTTTGTTTAAATGTATAAGGACTTTGAATTAAGTGCAGGCTAAAATCATGAAATTGAAATAATAAGTATAGCTACAAATGGCTCACCACGAATATTGTTTAAGACTGCGTGAGCTCTCTCCAGTCCCCTTTGTAGCTCATTTAAGCTCATGTTGAAAAAGGTCTCCATCTTCCACATCTGATTCTTCATCAGGCAGCATCCACAGGACGCCACATCAGTCGGACACACTTCAGAGAGGCAAAGAAACAAGCATCATCGTATCTCACTTTCCTAGTGCCTGAATTGTTGTTTAAGGTGTTTATGTGAACTTTCTATTTGGATATTTTTTTCATTGAGTCACCATTCTCATTGGGGTCAACGTCACTGGGTTCTCCCGGACCATTCCATGAAAAAATCCTGTCTTGTGCAAGTGCACATCCCAAAAAGCTTAAGATTACAATGGCTAAAACATGTAAAAGAAAGTTACATACATCCAGGCAATCCTGTACATATTTATATACAAGTTTAATTTAGTTTATTTTCTAGTCATTCTCACCCTTCATTTCTGCTGATGTCTCTTGACTGTAGTCTCGCAGTAAGATGTGTTGAGATTAACTTGAGTAATAATGCTGGCTATAAAGGCTACACCTCTGGTCTTTCAATAGCAATGGGCAGGGCCTTTTGTTTGCGTGTGTGTGTGTGTGTGTGTGTTTCCCATGCAATACAGTGCTGAATATGGGACAACGATTGTTTTTCAGCTAAAGCACATTATGTTATTCCCATGGCTGTTTTCTCTAGAGTACCACTTATACAAGTGTATCATTCTTCATCTTGGAGCGGAGTATACCACACTGTATGCTGTAACAACAACAGAATGCTGTTGAAATAATGGATTTTGACTTCTCATCTGAGGTGAATGACAAATGATATTTTACCAAGATATAACAAATGTAAAAGGCACGTTGAAAGAAAATTCAAGTTAAACACTTCATCTATAGACCACTTTGCAAGATGTAAACAACACTGGTCAAGACCCAGACAGCAAACTGACATTGAATCAACGTGGAAACGACGTCTCTCATGACATTGAAACAACGTTGATTTGCTCATCGAATTAACGTTGAACCAACGTCAGACGCGGCATTCTTCAAAGCTAAATGAAAATCGAAAATTGGTTTGCTTTCATAACGTTGAAACAACGCGTTGATTTCAAGTTGATTTTCCGTTAGTTTTGAAAGAATGACGCGTCTGACGTTGGTTCGACGTTAATTCGATGAGCAAAACAATGTCAGATCAACGTTGTTTCGATGTCATATTTCCACGTTGATTCAATGTCAGTTTGCTATCTGGGGAAGTACTTCCTGTTTCAGTTTGTAACTGTTTTCTTTATTTCACATGTAAAGAAAACATCTTAAAGATGTTTGTTTAACTTTTTGATTCAGTTTTATCTGTTCTGTTGGTTGTATTTTATCCCAGCTTTTATGTAGTGTTAAAAAACTGGACCAGTGTTGTTTACATTTTGAAAAATGGTCTATATTGCAAATAATCGAGGGCACTGTTGATTAGGACATGGAGTAATAGATTTTAACAGAGATCCTGCAGAACCTTTTAATCTGATTTGCTTTGAAACTGACACTGGTCTGATATTGTAATAAACCTAGGCTAGTGTTGTCAAATTGTCACAGCTAGAGTAATTCACTCTACAAAAGCAAGCGGCACCACAGAGCTAGAAAAAATAAATTTTATTTGATGCAATTCAGGCAGTTACCAGACATTTGGTATGGTACGAGTGGTTCGGGCTCTTGAATTACCAAACACGTATGCAAATCAGCTAGGGCGATTAACACCACAAGAGATCATGCTCCACAGAAAACACCGTCATAAATAAGCAACGCTATAGCACACACACATCAATCCCGCAGGACACTGCACACGTTCAAAATGCACTAGTGATGTTACGTTCGTGAACGAATCGTTCTTTTTGAACGACTCTTTTAGGTGAACGAATCATTCTCGTTCACGTTATCCATTGACTGAAATTCCTCCCTCCACCACTGCGCGCCGCTATTGCGTGCATGCGCAGCTCAATGAACCGTGTAGCTCTGTGGACCGTTTCAAGACAAAGAGTGACTAAACCTCGAGCCAATAGCCTTCGAGTATGATACGAGGACGAATCTAGTGAACGAATATGCCCTTCATTGAGTTGCTTTGAGTTTGAGTCAAATGAACTGTATACATCTCGTTCGTGAATGAAAGAACCAGTTGTTCGAACGCTAAGATAATAATGACGACGAAGTTAACAGTGCAAGCTGATGGTTTAATTTAATAAAAGACAGCTTAAAATGTTCGTTTTTACTAAAATCTACAAACTACATCAGGTCTGCTAACTTCAAAATGAGTGGCACCACAAAGAGAAGTGTATTATGGAATTATTTTAATGAGGTGTCTCCAACACAGGTTTTGTGTACAATTTGTAAAACACAGCTGTCCTTTAAAGGAGGATCTACAGCTAACCTTAACAGGCATCTAAAGGTAAAGCATCCAACTGTGCAGCTGACACAAAGGGAAACTGAACAAGCTGAGGATTCTGGAACATCCATCAGTACCAGTACTGCTCAACCTCCTCCTACCTCATCTGCCACTACCAGCACATCTCATACAACAGTAAAAAAAATGTAAAACATAAAAAAATTTAGAGTATTGATTATTTGCGTCACGTGACTCACGTCAACTAATAGCATTTCAACTCGGGCTTAGAAGGGGCATGTAATTGGTTGGATCTACTCTGCTGAATGAATATCATATTGCTCTGTTTTGAGTCTGATCGAGAGAGAAATCTCCCGTTCGTGAACGAATTGAACGAACTGGTTGCTATACCCAGTTCGTGTACCAGGTCGGCCATTCTGTCAATCTAGTTCATCAATCAGCAGAAAGTGAATGCAAAGCGCAGGTATCCGTACTGTGCACGCGCAATTCATATCTTACATACAGAACATAACTCCTCGTTTAACTCGTTCTGACCAAACAAACAAAATGTTAACTAGCCTGCCTAGTATGCAAACAAATTAAAAAACACTTGTTATTTGGTCATCCGAAAAGAGTGTAATTTAAAAGATAAAAATAGGGCACCATTTTTAATAAAGTCAAATAAGTTTTTATTTTGTAACAAGTAAATACGTTGGTTGAACAACACATTTTGCCGCACCTGCTGCTGACGTATTTGTGTAATATGGAAAAAAAAAACTGAACCGATCAGTGAACAAATCTGAACGAATCATTTTGGTGAACGAACTAAAAATGAACGAGTCTCTGGAAAGAATCAAAATTTCCACCACTAAAATGCACGTGAACTTCAAACCTAAGACGCCCTTCGACTACTACACAAAGATTTAGTTCATCATAACCCTCCCACCCCGTCATGAAATGGTTACACTACCAGCTTTAAAAAAAATCACACACACACGCACACACACAATAATACTTCTAAAGTTCAACACTTAAAGGATTAGTTCACTTTTGAAAAAACTTTTGCTGATAATTTACTCACCCCCATGTCATCCAAGATGTCCATGTCTTTCTTTCTTCAGTTGAAAAGAAATTAAGGTTTTTGATGAAAACATTCCAGGATTTTTCTCCATATAATGGACTTCAATGGGAACCGGATGGTTCAAGTATCAAAAGACAGTTAATAACAGTTTCAGATGCAGCTTCAAATGTCTTTAAACGACACCAGACGATGAATAAGGGTCTTATCATGCGAAACGATCGGTTATTTCAAAACTTATTCCAAAAATGTAACTTTTCTAAGGACAAATGCTAGCCTTGCTATATTCTCTGAGGAGCGTTTGTAACGTCACGTAATACGTAATTACGTTCAAAAGGTCACGGGCGACGTAGCCAGAAGTTCAGAGTCAGAACTGAACTGTAAATGTTTATCAGTAAAAATAATCTTTATCGGGTTGTAAAGTCTGTTAATGTTTTGTTGTATCTGTTGCAACTATGTTAGATAGTGGCAAACATATTTATTTAGATAGCATTAGCTATAGACCCTTTGCACATGGTGTCACGCTCTACTCGCGCGAATTCTGAACGCCATGACGGACGGCGGAAGAGCTATTCTGTAGACGGACGGTAAGCCAAATTAGTACGTGTTTGTGTTCGTTCTTGTTATAAAATGGTTATTTCGTGTTGTGCCGTGGGGTGTGCTAATAGACAGGGTAAAGCCAATACGTCGTTTTATCGCATACCATTAGATGGGGAGAGAAGGCATAGATGGGTTACTGCTATCAACCAAAAGGACTGCAGCCCTCCAAGTACTCCAGCATTTGCAGCAAGCATTTTTTACAAGGTAAGAATCATTTCCTAGTTACGTGTTTGTAATACCATACCGTCATCCATATCCAGATGGAGACCCAGTCAAATTGTCGTTTGTAACATGAGTAGTGGTGGAAATTTTGATTCTTTTCAGAGACTCGTTCATTTTTAGTTCGTTCACCAAAATGATTCGTTCAGACTCGTTCACTGATTCGTTCAGTTTTTTTTTTCCATATACATCAGCAGCAGGTGCGGCAAAATGTGTTAACAACGTATTTACTTGTTACAAAATAAAAACTGATTTGACTTTATTAAAAATTGTGCCCTAGGCTACTCATTAAATTGATAAAATAAGTCTAAATAAGCGATCAAAGTCTCAAGACTCTTTTTATCTTTTAAATTACACTCTTTTCGGATGACCAAATCACAAGTGTTTTTTAATCTGTTTGCATACTAGGCAGGCTAGTTAACATTTTATTTGTTTGGTCATAACGAGTTAAACGAGGAGTTATTTTCTGTATGTAAGTTATGAATTGCGCGTTCACAGTACGGGTACCTGCGCTTTCCATTCACTTTCTGCTGATTGATGAACTAGATTGACAGAATGGCCGACCTGGTACACGAACTGGGTATAGCAACCAGTTCGTTCAATTCGTTCACGAACGGGAGATCTCTCTCTCGTTCAGACTCATTCAGCAGAGTAGATCCAACCAATTACAGGCGCCTTCTAAGCCCAAGCTGAAATGCTATTAGCTGACGTGAGTCACGTGACGCAAATGAGCTGGAATGACGTGACGCAAATAATCAATACTCTATTTTTTTTTTATGTTTTACAGTTTTTAAACAAACAAAAGTGCATGACATGACATATATATTTATTTTTTAAAGTATAAAACCGTTGAAACATAAAACAACAATAATAAAAATAAATAATACAAAATGCACACAAAACAACACCAGTGCTAGTGGTGCCACTCATATTGAAGTTAGCAGATTACCTGATGTAGTTTGTAGATTTTAGTAAAAACGAAAATTTTAAGCTGTCTTTTATTAAATTAAACCATCAGCTTGCACTGTTAACTTCGTCGTCATTATTATCTTGACGTTCAAACAACTGGTTCTTTCATTCACGAACGAGATGTATGTAACAGTTCATTGGACACGTTCAAACTCAAAGCAACTCAATAAAGGGCGTATTCGTTCACTAGATTCAACAAATCACATGCTCCGTCCCGTATCATACTCGAAGGCTATTGGCTCGAGGTTTAGTCACTCTTTGTCTTTGACAGATGAAACGGGCCACAGAGCTACACGGTTCATTGAGCTGC